GATCAGCGGTTCTCAACCTGGGGGTCGAACAACCCTTTCACAGGGGTCGCCTAAGACATGGGTCGGCAACCCGCTGGGGCAGTGGCCAGCGGGGGCATCGCACCCCGGGAAGCCGAGCCGGTCACATGTCTCCCCAGGTTGGGCAGAGCGGCAGTCATGGCTGAGGCAGCGGCCACATCTCTCTGGCTGAGTGAGGCCGGAGAGGCACGGGCAGCTGCGCCCCTTCACCACCCTCCTGCTGTTGCCTGGCTGCCACGGGGCTCTCCACCTCGGCCCCATCGGTGGCGCCAGTGCCGCCGCCGCCCTCGGTGCTGCAGGAGAAGGAGACCTTGGGCTGCAAGGGCGGCGATCAGGACTCGCCTCATCCCCGCAGTGGCATTCCCTATTGCCAGTGCAGCCGTCCATGGTGCATGGGACCCCGACGATGCTGCAGTGGCCGCCGCCAGAGCCGCCGCCTCCCATCCTGCTCCCCCTCCCCGCCCATTTGGCTAAGGGGGCGGCGGGGACCCTTGACAATGCTGCAGTGGCCGCCACCAGAGCCACTGCCTCCTGTCCTGCTCCCCCTCCCCGCCATTCGGCTGAGGATGCGGCAGGGCGGCAGCCAGGCCGGGGGCGGCGGGACCTCCGACGATGCTGCAGCGGCCGCCGCTGTGCTACCGCCGCCACCGGACCTGCTGCTTCCCGTCCTGCTCCCCCTCCCTGCACATTCAGTGCCATCTGCCTTTCGTTCTCTCTCTCTCTCTCTCCTCAACTGGAGAGAGGGGGAGAGAGAGAGAGAGAGAGAGGAAAGAAAGAGAAGAGAGAGAAAAGAGAGGAAAGAGAGAAAGAGAAAGAAGAGAGAGGAAAGAGAAAGAGGAAAGAAAGAGAAGAGAGAGAGGAAAGAGAAAGAGGAAAGAGAAAGAGAAGAGAAAGAGAGGAAAGAGAAAGAGAGGAAAGAGAAGAGAAAGAGGAAAGAGAGAGGAAAGAAATGAAAATACATCCGGCATATCAGATATTTACATTACGATTCATAACAGTAGCAAAATTACAGTTATGAAGTAGCAACGAAAATAATTTTATGGTTGGGGGTCACCACAACATGAGGAACTGTATTAAAAGATCGCGGCATTAGAAAGGTTGAGAACCACTGCTATAGATGAACAGCCTGTGTTTCAAATTGATCTTCACCATCTTCTAAGCATAATTTGACAAAGTCATTGGAAGTTAGTTGTATACAAACTAGGAAGCAGCAGTAGTCATTTGGAAGGATATCATACTGAATGATACTGAAACCTACCAATAGGTCCAAAAGAACACACACAGTAACATTCCACATATTTAATTCACAGCACAGAGCATTTACCAAGCCAATCAAATCAGTTGCAGTATTATATACTAGTGGAAAATTCACTGAAATATGTGCAGATAATCAGCATTATTTGCATGTGATGCAAAGCTATTGGTCCTACAAAACTATTATCTTTTTCAGAAATCAAATACTTAAAATTGGTTTAGAGGTGCACTACTCTCCAGCTCCAAGGAAGGGTTTCTTCAACACAGTCTTATTAGCAATGCATATTTTGAAAGTGATTTGGAAAAAAATGCTTCAAACCTTATGCAAACACAGCACATTTCTACTACATGCACCCTTAAGTCACACCACTTTACCTAATCTTCTGGCCCAGCAAAGATTTAACTATTTCCTATGCAATTATCCCAATGGTATAGATCAACAAGTTATGGTGGAATAGAAATTTTATTCCCCAGTTATAAAATCTAGGGACTACAACTGGGAAAATAAAAATTCCTTCAATGAAAGACCCATCTCAGCAACTGGTCACAGCCATTACCTACAGACAGAAAAGGACCACATATATTTTTACAAAATTCTGTTAAGATCCACAGACCGAAGAAACAGAAATAAAACAATTCAAGCAATGCAATTTTAAGATGCTATCAGATATGAGTTTGATTGTTTTTGGAGGGCAAGAAGGAACTTCTTACTGAAATAATGGTAAACTGAGAAGATTAAGAAATATCTGTGAGTGTGTTTGATTTAAAGAAAACAAGATCAGGGAAATTTACAATAAAACATTTGTGTGTTTTATGTGTGTATGCACATGTGTGCAAAGCAACATTGAAGCAGTGAAGCAGAGAAATTCCTATGTTGTAAGGGCCTTTCCAGATTGCCATTATATTTAAGTGCATGAAGAGCCATATCATTTATTCATCAGTCAAGACAAATGTTTCATTCTGTGCAGACACACAGAAAACCTATGAGAAACTCTTGAGGTCTAGAAGGTATGTACATACGAACTATGTATGGATTTTGAAACGTACAAATCATTAATAAAATAAGCAAACAATTTAAAATACAGGAAGTCCTCACTTACCGACCATAACAACTTCACTGCTAAGCCACAAAGATGAAAGGGGAAACTTCATATGACTGCAGAGTTATATCAATTTCATTTAAGTGAATTTAAGTGAAACAGCCATGCTCACTGAATCTGATATTACATGATTGTAACTTGTGACTTCCTGAGGGCTTCACCGTTGACTTTCAAAAGCCAGCTGTGAAGGTCATAAATGGGAATCATGTGACTGTGGAATGCTGTACCTGTCATAAGCGTGCACTCGTTACCAAGAGTTTGAAGCATGACCATGGGGCCACTGCAAGTTTGAGGACCAGTCATAGATCTCCTTTTTCAGCACCATCGTAATTTTGAACATTCACTGAGCAAGAGTGTTACATTGATAACAAAAAATGATAAGTTACTTACTATCCGTTTTGCTAGTATTTAGCAAATGAAGTAGTGTTTTTATCTGAAAGGAAGATGTTCTAAATTTAAGATACTCTACCGACTTCCACAGGAACAGAAAGAAAAAATATTGTAAATTCAAAAGTTTTATTCACTGCCCAGCTTGTCAAACTAGCACTGCCAACTCCAGCTGAAACAGGTCCTAGACATTTCCCCCAGATGTGTCATTTTTGCCTGCATAAATATATCAGTCAGAAACCCATGCTCCAAAAACGGGGGTCAGAAGAAAAAAGAGTTAATAGGTGTTGATTAAAATTAATTGCCTGTAAAATAAGATATGTCATTTGTAAAACTAATTGATTCTCATCTGCATATGGCACTCATTCTCACACACAAAAATACACAACTGCACATGCACATTTCCCTTCCCCCGAACAGAAAGAACCAATGAGGAAAGAACTCCAGGATGAAGCTGTGATAAGAAGAATAACTGCTGCCCTCAAAAGGGAAAATAAGGGAACAAAACTTCCTGGACAAAAGGAAGGAAAGAGAACCTGTGTGTTTGTACACACATCCACCTAACAGCCTCACCCAAGCAGTGGGTTGTCTTCAGACTTGCCAAGACATCTAGCTTTTCAGCATCTCATGCTTATACTTTTATTTTGAAAAGTTTCTAGTTATATCAAGGACTGTTAAGGGGAGCCCCTGTACTATCAGATATTATTAGGGATTAAATATATTTTTGTTGGTGCTGAAATAAGAAAGTTGATAGTACATATCTCTCAAGAAAGGCATTACAAAAATATTTTCTTCCCCATGACATGTTAAGCCTACAAAACTGCAACATTTTGCTGCAAACCAAATTTTGATGCATTAACTGATCATTAAGCCATTTCATAACCTGCTGTAATATTAAGACTATATTTGGAGCATTATAAAAGCCTGTGAATTCATGACAATACTGTGTTACTTAACTGTAATCCCATTTCTGTCCGACCCATCCCTACCCCATCCAGAACACACAATTACATAAGTAATCTGCAAGTAGCCATAAGAAGATTCTGGATAGAAGTCAAACAGCCTAAACTGAAAGAAAACAGAACTGGATATAGATTAGCAAATGCTCAATCAACATCTTTTACTCTTCACAAAAATGGGTATGAAGTAAATACGTAAAGATTACTTTATCATATTTGTATGTCACATGTTCTCAGCAAAGCTAATGCTTGCTATTTTAAAATGATTTCCCACTCTACCAGCTAAAGAAGTTGTCTTTGTGACTGAATGAGATCTACAAAACAGTGAATGCTATTACATGTGTGTATGCACAATATCCACACAGTACACTTCATATGTAGATGTGCTACTCTAAGCAATAAAACTATTATTACATGTGTCTTGGACATAAACTTGAAGCCAGTTCATTTACAGCTGGAAATATGTTTTGACCGTTATGCACATTTAAATGATCATGGAATACCAGTTAGCTGTAGCAAAAATCAAGAAAAAGTGTGGATAGATTACAACTGACATTTGTGAATCAAGCAACTTTAGTGGATGTACTCCAATCATCATTAGTAACTGTGGTAAAGAATCTGGAATATACACTTAATACAGGTATTAAGTAGAAAAAACATTCTGGATCAGCTAGCTAAGATACACTGGAGTAACATTTCCTCCATATAAAGATAGCACAATCAGTGGGTGAAAATGATAGTTCAGTATATCCAGACAGTTATAGGTTAGCAAAGGCTCCATTTACCTTCTCGCCTCAGGAAAAAAAATATGTATTTAAGGTGTCCGTAATCACAAAGCTGTGTCTACAAAACAGTATATGAACAGGCATAAAACTGCATATTCTCTTGCTGCCAAGTAGAAGCTGCCTATTTACCAATGAAAAGAGGTCCTAGCTTTGGGGTAAAAGATGGAAGGGGAAAAAACCAAATTTGCTTAGCGAACCTAGAAATTGGAGCGGCAGGTTCAATTTCACATTCGGCCACCGACCAATCAACATCTCTTAATTTAACCTTTCTCACAGGACTGTTGCACGCAGGGAAAGTGTTCTTCTTGAGTAAAAAAAACCGACATAACATACATGCATGGAAGTGTATACCAAGTTGATGCTTCCTCTTCCAGCCAATGCGTCGATAGAAGACAGTTAAATCGCGGCCCTGCGAGTTTCATTCTCCTTCTGGAAACAGCAACTCACCTTCCCATGCCACGCTCCCCCGTACAAGGCCCTACTCGTCACATACTCACCGTTTTACTACGCCTGTTTTTATTTTGATCTGTCTGATGCGAGGGTCGGCCATGGAGAGATTGGGGCAGTAAGCGAAAACGGCCAGCAGCGACGGAACGAAATGCTAACACAAAACAGGTAACAAGAGAAGACAAACGCCACAACCAACAACCCAACACCATTCAAAGGGTATAACGCATGCGCTAAATAAACGTATTCAATTAACTCCGCCTTTCAGTGGATTGTACCACTGAAGAGGGGGGGGGAGACTTTAAAGGCAAGGGCAGGAAATGATGGATCATCTTTGGAAAATAAACTTCTTCCCCTTGGAGCTGTTCTACTGTAAATCTCGTTCTGCTCAAATGAAAAAGAAACGACTGTGTTGCCGAAGAGCAATTTGATGTTGTAGGTCCTAAATCTCACCCCAGTACAGTATTAATAGATCGCCTTAGAGAAAACAAAAGTCTTCATACTAAACCGTTATTTGCTGAGTCATGCTTCAGTGATGGAATTCATTAAACATCAACCTAAAGTTATAAGCAGACTCCTAAATGCACATACATACATACATAAATAGAATTATTTAATTTTGACAATAGCAATAACTGAAGAATTGCAAGCAGTGTATTTAGAATTGTCTTGTTTATAAAAGCTGTCTCTTTGTTCCGTTTTTTTCACTTTTGAAAATCCTGATAATTGTAAATAGAGGATGAGTATCAAAATTCCGCTAGTTCCTTGTATGAGAGAGTGTAAGTATAGCATAACAGCACAATTTTATAATAGCTAGTCTGATGTCTAGTTTGATTCTGTGAAGTGGGATTCCAAATAAGTCTTAGACTATAATACTATAGTCCAGAATATTTAATCTTAGCAACTTCAAGGGGTTGTATTCCTTATTTTTCCTCCCAGTTTGGTCATGATTTCTATTTATGGACAAAGCTTTTTGTCTAATCCTACCAAGCTTTGCTGCAGCAGCCTTAGGTTTCCCTGCCTTTCCATACAAATGCTAGCAAGGGCCAATCCTGTTTAGCTTTGTCAGATTAACCAAGATCAATTAGACATAGGTACAAGAAATTAAATGAGTGTTACATTCTCTTATAATTATAGATCTCCAACATGTTCCCTCAATTTCCTATTTTACTTTTATTTGTTTTTCAAAACAGATAGAGGCACTTCAAAACTATGGTCTGCAAATATCTTTTTTTAAAAAAACAATGTTTATGGGTCCTGTGGGATCTGAGAGGCATTTGTGGAAGTATAATTGGATTAGAGGATGGTGCTTGGCATTATAGCATTTCATCTTTAAAAGCAATAAAGCATGGTAGATACCATATCGTAGCCCATAGGTGCCATGTTGGAGAATAGCATGATATGACAATCAGTGATGGACAAGCTTAATTTCCCTAAAGCAGGAAAACCTTTCATTTTTTTTTCTAGGTGGTGGAACAAGAGAAAGAAGAGGGGAGGAGAGGGGAGATTCTCAGATCCCTGCTATGTGCCTCTCAGACACATATAAGAACAATCAGTTGCCATAAGTACAAGTGGCTTCCCAAAGGTGGATTTTGAATGTTTCCCTTTCTACTTTGCTTTAGAAAACTTGCACCCCCCCCCTTTTGCCATTAGTTTCTTATACAATCCCATCAGGTTTCTGCAGAACATAGTTTGAAAATTCATTCTGGCAGCCAGAAAGATTTAAAAAGTTATCACAAAAATATCAAATATTTTTTCTGAAGAAAGTTTTAGTTGAGCTGGAGACAACAGTGCTGAGATCAATTTATTCTGGTTGGACTAAGAAGGCAGTATCTCCTTGTGTTTGATGCAGAATGAAGCAATGCCTATATATTCATTCTAGTTAACTATACTATTGAAAAACTACTTACAGCCTGGGAAATTTAGAGCTTGTATATGAACACAACTCTGGCCTCCTCTAATAAAAACAACATGTTATGAGGTTGTGTAAAGATTCCTGCCCTCAAAAGCACCTGAAATGCATTAATAGTAGTAGTAGTAGTAGTAGTAGTAGTAGTAGTAGTAGTAGTAGTAGTAGTAGTAGTAGTAGTAGTAGTAGTAGTGATAATAATATAAATTACAGAATGCCATACCGGCTCGGATGTCACCCGGGTTAACAAGATCCGCGCTATATATTGGAGTTCCTGGATATCTGGTGAAAAATGGGTTACAGGACTCAGGACTGTTGGCTGAGCAACCAGGGCCAGCAGCTGCAGAACTACTGGAAGAAAAGTGTTTACCCGTCGCAGATACACAGTGATGGAAAACAAAGAAATAATGATCTGTTACTACAGATCAAGTCCAACAAGACGAGGATATCTAAAACGAATGCACCAGTTCTGGAAAGAACAACATCCAGAATCAGAAATAACAGAACAGAGACTAGCAGATCAACGCCGATTTATAATACGAAATAAAGTATTCACAGAAACAGAATTGGACGAACTGCAAAGGTTTACCCAGGGCAAAGAAATCAAAGCCTTACCAGAAGTAATTCAGAATGTAGAGGCAAACCAGGGGGAGTTGGCAGTGAAGGAATCCAGCAGAGATATACAACTGTTCTCATTTGGAAACCAGGCACCTCTACCTCAGGAAGAACAAAACCCTCTAACTAAAGAAATAAAAGAATTGAAACAAAGAATAACTGAGCATCTAGAACAGCACAAAAACAACAGAATAAGGCTGCCTGCATTGAAGCTTGTTCCAAAGAAACAGCTAGCACAAACATTAAAAGATGCAAATACTGCAATATCAAGTATAAGCACCAATTCACTGCAAGAAACAAACCAACTAATGTACAGCACAGCTGCAGTTATAACTGAATACCTGGGATGCAAAATCAACAAAGAAGAAAAACAAACACATTTTATGCACCACAAAAATGGAAGGTTAGACTAGAAAATAAGATCAACAAGTTAAGATTACATGCAAGCAAGCTAGAACAGATGAAAAAAAAGAAGCTGAAGAACAAGAAGACCAAAGAATACCTAATCAAGAAATACCAATTAGAAACAAGGAAGACCAAGGAAGCACTGAAAATAATAAAACAACAAATAACAGCTATAGCCAGGAAAAGCAGTAGATATGAAGCTCGAATTGCAAACTATAGGCAGAACCTCCAATTTCAATCCAATCAGAAACGTTTCTACCAATCCATCAATGGAGAAACTGCAATGAATCAGTCAGTACCTGACAAGGAAGAAACAGTGCAGTTCTGGAAGCAGATATGGGATAACCCAAAGAAATACAACAAGGATGCGGCTTGGTTAAAAGAGGTGGATGCAAATAAAACAGAAGTTGAAATGAAAGAACTAGTAATAACAACAAAAATGGTAGAAAAAAGAGCAAGGAAAATCAAAAACTGGTCAGCACCAGGTGAAGATGAACTGCATGGGTTTTGGTTGAAACATCTAACTGTTATACACCCACTCATTGCCAAGCAGTTCAACAATATACTACAAGGAGGAGAAATTGAAAAGCGGCTAACAACTGGGAAAACCTACCTAATAATGAAAAATCCAGCAAAAGGGGCAACACCAGGCAACTACAGACCAATTACCTGCTTACCAACAACTTTCAAATTACTAACTGGTGTGGTAGCTGATGCAGTACAACAGATCTAGTTGAAAACAATCTCCTTCCACCTGAGCAGAAAGGAAACCGCCCCAATAGCAGAGGAACAAAAGATCAACTCCTAATAGACAAAATGATCTTGGAAAACTGCAAGAGAAGGAAGACCAACCTGAATGTGGCATGGATTGACTACAAAAAGGCATTTGACTCTCTGCCACATGATTGGATAATAAAGTGCCTAGAAATAACAGGAGTCAGTAGAAACATCAGAAAATTTGTGCAAAGATCGATGGCACAATGGAAGACACAGTTGCAGATCAATGGTGAGAGACTGGGAGAGGTTAATATCAAGAGAGGAATATTTCAAGGAGATTCATTGTCACCATTACTATTTGTTATTGCACTGTTTCCTCTGTCAACAATACTGAATAACTCAGGACATGGCTCTCAAACATCAAAAACATCTGCCAGACTATCCCACCTCCTTTATATGGATGATCTGAAGCTGTATGGAAAAACATCATCTGAAATAGAATCGCTGCTCAACACTGTCCGTATATATAGCCAAGATATTGTAATGGAGTTTGGCTTGGACAAATGTGCCACACTTACTATCAAACAGGAAAAATAGTGAAAACTGAAGGAATCAAGATGCCCCACGAAAATAACATTAAGAGTCTGGATGAGGAAGAGTACTACAAATACGTGGGTATCCTTCAAGCTGACAACATCAAGCACACTGAAGTCAAGAAAAAGATTAGAGGTGAATACATCAAGAGAGTGAAGAAGATCTTAAAGTCCAAACTCAATGGAGGAAATACCATAAAGGCAATCAACACCTGGGCAATTCCAGTCATTAGGTACACAGCTGGAATAGTGGACTGGACTCAAGCAGAACTAAAAGCACTGGATAGGCAGACCAGAAAAATAATGACAATGAATCATGCCCTTCATCCACGCAGTGACATTGATAGACTTTATCTACCAAGGCAAATAGGTGGGCGTGGAATGCTACAAGTACATCAGATGGTTGAAGAAGGAAAAATGGCTTTGGCAGAATATCTGAAGAACAACAATGAAGATGCACTGAAATTAGTATATCAGGAAGGCTTACTGACTACTGGAGAGACCAAACTGGCCTACAAGAAAGACCAAATGAAGAACAGAATAGAGGCACGGGAAGACAAAGCACTACATGGCCAATACATGAAAAAAAATAGCTGGGAAAGCAGATAATAATAAACCTGGCAATGGCTAAGAGCAGGAAAATTGAAGAAAGAGACCGAGGGACTAATTCTGGCTGCACAAGACCAAGCTTAAGGACAAATGCATACAAAGTCAAAATTGAGAAGACAGCAACAGACAGTAAGTGCCACCTATGCAAAGAAGCTGAAGAAACAGTGGACCACCTGGTAAGCTGCTGCAAGAAGATTGCACAGACTGACTACAAGCAGCGGCATGACAAAGTAGCAACAATGGTGCATTGGAAGATCTGCAAAAAATATCATTTGCCTGTAAGCAAAAACTGGTGGGATCATAAAATAGAGAAAGTCATAGAAAATGATAAAATTAAACTGCTCTGGGACTTCAGAATTCAAACAGACAAGCACCTGCAACATAAC